CTGGGCGACAGAGTGAGACTCCAACTCAAAAAAATAAAAAAATAAAATAAAATAAATAAAGTGCTTTTTTTCCAAGCTCCAGCTAAGGAGGCATCCACCAGGCCCCTCCCCGACACTCAGGGAGAGCCCTGTTAGGGCTCCCTCTGCCTGAGCCTGTGGGTTCGAGACCCGCCTGGGCAACTTGGTGAGACCTCATCTCTACAATAAACCAAAAAAATTAGCCGGGCGTGATAGTGCACGCCTGTAATTCCGGCTACTCTGGAGGCTGAGGCAGAAGGATCACTGGAGCCCAGTAGGTCAAGGCTGCGGTGGTCGGGAGCGGCCACTGCACTCCCGTCTGGGCGACAGAGTGAGACTCCAACTCAAAAAAAAAAAAAGTGCTTTTTTTCTCCTTTGTTGTGTTGCCCTGGTGATCTTGGAGCTCAGCCTCGGCTGGGGGTGCCAGGAAGATTTCTAAACAAGTCTGGACCCCAGTCAGGAAACACAGTGAAACGACACACTGTAAACAACCTCTGCTCAGGAAACTGGCTGGGTCAGAGGGCTTCCAGGGAGAGCAGGAGGGAAGGAGGAGGGAGGTCACCAAGGTCAAGGCCCCTCCCAGAGGTCTCCACTGCCGGTGTTCTCTGAGGACCTGGGTTATGAGTCCCAGGCCAGCTGCAGGCTGCAGAGGCCTCCGATGAGGCCTGGAAATCGACATTTGAGCAGGCCCAAGGCCCAGAGCAGGGGAGGACACTCCCAGGGCCAGGATGGCAGGCAGGGCTGCGTCACTTCGTCCTCCCCTGGGTCCCAGCTCCTGCTTGGCCTCCAGCCCAGGGGGCAGCCCTGGCCCCACTGGAGCTGCATAATTAAGCCCTGCTGGTTCTTAGCTGCCAAGACACAGCCAGGGGTGGAGGGGACACGAGGGGGGACTCACCAGCCCGCTGCCCTGGACATAGAAGTCGTCACAGGAGAAGATGGTGCCAGGGTAGGACGAGAAGACCAGCCTGTTGCCGGGAGCCAGGGGTGAGTCCTCTGTGGGGAGAGCGACCGAGAGTCGGGCAGATGGCCCACGAGGGTCTCAAGGCAGGGAGCAGGCAGGCCTAGAAGAGGCTTTATTCTGTCCTTTCGGTCATTTAGCAAACGAGGTCATCTGACATAGAAGGGGTATGTGTGTAAAAACGAAAACTAGTAGCAAAACATATGTAGTCACCCTTCTACATGTGAGTGCCACGTCCTCAACTGCAATCAACCAAGAATCGAAAATACCTGGAGAAAAGAAACCAACAGGCCAGGTGCAGTGGCTCTTGCCTGTCATCCCAGCACTTTGGGAGGCCAAGGTGAGAGGAGTGCCTGAGTCCAGGGGTTTGAGACTAGCCTGGGCAATTTGGCGAGACCTCGTCTCTACAATCAATCAAAAAACTAGCCAAGCATGGTGGTACATGTCTGTGGTTCCAGCTACTTGGAAGACTAAAGCAGAAGGACTACCGGAGCCCAGCAAGTTGAGGCTGCAGTGGCCTTGAGCGTGCCCCTGCACTCCAGCCAGGATGACAGTGAGACTCTGACCCAAAAAAAAAAAAAAAAAGGACTAGTGGCCCAAACATGGTAGTACAGTCCACTGAGCAAGAGGAGAAAGTTGCAAATAATCTACATGATCCTATTTTTGTTAAAAAAAAAAAAAAAAAAAGAAAGAAAGCAAATAAACATTATGGAGATGTGAAATGGTGGTTACATGTCTGTGCATTTGCCAGGACTCATAAAACTGTAAACACAGAGTGAGCCCTCACTAAACTACAGACTTCAGTTGATAATGTACCAATATTGGTCTACCAATTGCAACAAACTTGCACTCCAATATGGGCACAGAGTGAGACTCCAACTCAAAAAAAAAAAAAAAAAAAAAAGGTACATATGTACATATATAAACGCATCCAAAAAATCTAGATAGATCCCAGCCAAAATTGCAACATCAGTTCCCTCTGAGGAGGGGTCTCATGTAAGGAAGAAGACATCAAGGGAGATATATTTCTTCATCTGTACTGCTGGAATTTGTGACAGTGGGAATGTATTTATGTATCACTCATGTAATAAACAAATGGAAAATTGAGGTACTTTTTTTAAGTCTAGAAAACATAACCAACTGTTCACAGAAATGTTCTCCTTTGGTTGTAGGGTGTTCAAGTGATTTCATCATGAATGTGCTTTGCTGGATTTTCCAATGTTCTATAAGACACACGTAGGACTTATGGAGGTTTTTTAAAGATATTAAAAATGTAATGGAGGCTGGGTGTGGTGGCTCATGCCTGTACTTTGGGAGGCTGAGACAGGAGGAATGCTTGAGCCCAGGAGTTCGAGATCAGCCTGGGCAACAAAGGGAGACCCCATCTCCAGGAATTAAAAAAAATCTTTTTTAATTTTTAAATTAAAAAAATGCAATGGACAAACAGTAATGAGCATGACCTGCAGCTACACACAATAACACGGATGAGTCTCAGAGACACATGGAACGAGAGAAGCCGGATACAAACAGGCATGTGCTGCACCATCCTAGCCACAGGCAACTCTCATGAGTGCTGTGAGAAATCAGGTCAGAGCCTGCACAGAGTGCGGGGGCGCCTGGAAGGGGAACAAGGGAGCCTTCCAGGGCTGGGATGTTCCATTTCTCAAGCTGGACACTATGTAGGTGATTTGCAAATAGTTCAAGTTGTACACTTATGATGTGAACCCTTTCCTGGACCAGTGTCAATTTAGAAGTTTCCCAAACTGAAATGCACGGATACTAGGTTGTCACCAAGCCACAGACAGTCGCCATCCTTGCACAAACTCCCTGTGCAGAAACACAGACATCTCTCTAGATTCAAGTCAGAGAACTGCTGCATCACCGGGTGACAGATGCTGAATTTGAGGGGATGCCGGCTGGGCTCCTCTGAAAAAAGGCTGTGCCAACTCACACTTCCCACCAGTAGTGAACTCCCCCATCTCCTCTCCACCTTCTGGGGCCATCAAGTTTCTGTTTGGCCGAGAAGGAGGCACTGCAGACATTTGGCAGCGGTGCCCCAGGACTGACTCTGGGGCCTGGGAGGGGAACTTGAGCCCCGACTGCAACATTTTCACATCTGAAGGAGGAGGGTATCCACGCACTCCCTGTGTGGTGGGCCGGCTGCAAAAATGGCTGGAATTCCTCCCGTGGCTGCATCCACGCCTTCTGTGACATGACTCTGCCCATCACATGGTGTGGTCAGTGCCCCATCTCTGAACCTGGGCTGGCCACTTGCCACTTCAGGTGACAGAATGCTGGGCTGGGGCCCACCAGGGCTCAAGAGGCTGTCTGCACTTCCTGCCCAGGTGCCACAAACACACCTGGGCTTACCTGCTGGGCATGAAAGACCATGTGGCCCAGTTGCCCTGGCACCCCGGCTGACAGTCAACTTCCAGACACGTGGAAGAGGTCACCGCAGACCAGCTGATCCACCCCAGCTGACCTGCCAGCAACCACAGATGCACCGTGAACCCAGCCAAGATCAGCCTGGCCTAAGTAACAAGCCAGCCAGTTGACCCACAGACACCAGAGCAACAGACAGACAGTGGTTGTGTTCAGCTTCTGCTGTTTTAAATGTGGGGGTGATGAGTTACGCAGCAAGAGCTAACACATACACCTTGTAAAAAAGAAACCGGAGGGAAATGAACATGCCAGGGATGACCTCTAGGAACGACCCTCCAGTGACCCCCATGTGCTTGGAGGATGCTGCGGCCAGGGCCCTTGCCTCCCAGGAGCCCCCCACCCATGTGTCTGCCCACACCCATGCCCAGGAGGCACCACAGCCACCTACCCCACGGGCCCTCCCGGAACTGAAACCAGTACTTCTTGATGACGCGCAGCATGTGCTGGTAGTTGTTCCAGGTGTTATGGGCCACGAGGAGGTCACTCTGGCCTGGCAGCAGCTTGATGAGGGCAGAGCAGGAGCCGGAGCCCAGGGAGGCCTTGGCCTTGGTCTTGTTCAGGGCTGGCTCCAGGTCTTCCAGGTCCCCAGAGAGCTGCAGCAGGCTGAGGAGGACCAGGGCACTGGGGTTACCAGGCCTGCTGGGGTGCTGCTACGTGCCCATTTCACAGAGGAAAAGGCTGAGGCTCTGGAGGGTTCGCTGACTGGACCGGAGCCACAGAGCCGGGAAGTGGCAGAGCTGGTACTGGAACCCAGGCCTGTCTGGCTGCAAGGTGTGTGGCCCTTTCCCCCACCCTGTCCGCTCTGGGGGTGGCACTTACAGGAACCCCAAGGGTTTGATGGTCAACCTCCCAGTGGGGAAGGTCACACGGCCTTCGTAGCTGTCCTCCAGGCCTTTTAGCTGCAGGAGGGTCAGCCGCACCTGGGGAGGGGGCGGGGGCAGAGGGAGGGTAAGGCCGCTCCCCTAGGCTCACACCTTCTCCCATGGGAGGGGCTCTGGCCTGAGAGTCCAAACAGAGCATGGGAGGCCTGGGGCACCCTCAGGCTCCAGCCAGCCCTAACCCTTAGCCACCCCCAAGCCACCACCCACCCCTCCATGCTGAGCACTCATCCACTTTCAATGAATTGACTATTCGTCCTTGTCCTGTGTTGACCCCAAGTTACCCCCACTTCGAGCCTAGTTCAAAAGCCACCTCCTCCAGCCCGGCCTGGGCCATTGCCAGTGGTTCCCTAGTCTGAGTTTAGCTGCTGGCTGCATAGCTACCTCAGGCACTGTCTCATGCATTTAACTAGGCCCCACAGTCACTGTTTTGCCTCAAGATCTGTAACTATCTGGAACCATGGCGCATTATCACTGTGTCCCTCACAGGGTCCTGACCTGAATTGGGTACACACTGGTCATGTAGTATGGATCTGCTGGATGGATGACAGATTGACGGATGGACAGATGGATGGGTGGGTGGCTGGATAGGTAGTTGAATGAATAGATGGGCAAGTGAGTGAGTGGGTGGACAGGTGGGCATACAAGTGGATGGATGAATAAATGAGTGATGTGAGAGATGATGGACAGATGGATGGATGGATGGATGGATGGATGGATGGATGGGTAGATGGGTGAGTGGGTGGATAGGTAGGTATGTGGGTGGATGGATGGATGGATGGATGGGTGGATGGGTATGTGGGTGACTGGATGGATAGGTGGATGGATGAATGGGTGGGTGGATGAATGGGTGGATGGATGAATGGATGGGTGGGAAGTGGATGGATGGATGGATGGATGGGTAGATGGAGGGATGGGTGGAAGAGTGGATGGGTACCAGACAGGCAGGAAACATAAATGACAGGCAGGCAGGAAAAGACAGGCAGGAAACATAAATGGATGGGTACCAGCTAAGTTAAGTAGAAGAGCATGGACAGAAGCAATCGGCCAGATGGATGGGAGGGAGGTGGGAGGAACAGGAGCCCAGGCAGGTGCATGAAGTGTATGAGCAGGACAAGATGGATCCATTCCTCTGTCTATAAATCCTCGACAAGGCTTTATTTATGAAGTACCCACTACGCATCTGACACTGCCAGGCACTAGGGATATTGTGGTGAACAAGGCAGGCGCGGGGCAGGCATTGTCCTCATGGGACTCCGAGTTGAGTTAGATAGACAAGCCCTAAACACCTCCCCATGGTTTCTATTTTCAGTGCTATGAAGACAAGCAGGGAGAGGACACCGAGGTTAGGAAGGAGGAGACAGCCAGGCAGAGGTAGAGGAGGAGAGTCCCAGCAGAAGGAGCAGGGGTTCACAAGTCCTGGGCCAGGAGGCAATGTGTCTCATGCCAGGAACCGGAAGGCCAGAGAGGCAGGAGTGGAGAGAGCAAGGAGGGTACAGGAAAGTGCTGAGGTCACCTGAGGAGCATGGGCTTCATCCCAAGAAATGGGCAGCCCCAGTGATATTTAAGACAGGAAGAAAAAGTAAACGTGATGGTGCAACAGACAGAGTAGAGGTGCCTAGATGGCCGGGGAAGGCAGGGAAGTGAAGCAGGCAATATGGTCAAACAGATGGCTGGACAGGTGCAAGGGAGGCAGTTTGTGAAGGCAGATGGACAGGCAGGTAGACAAAGGGCAGGCAACTAAATGGGGTCTCTCCACGGGTGTGGGTGGAGAGAGGAACTGACAACTGGGCTAAGATGACACATGGGTAGATAAGAGGAAGCAGGTGAAAGATGGACAGATTTGCAGGAGGGCAGAACGGTGAGCAGACAAGCTGGATGATGGAGGGAGGGATAAAGGACCGACAGGTGGGTGGACGGGTGGGTGGACAGGTGGGGGCGTGGGTGGACGGATAGATAAATGGAGGGTGGATGGATAGATGGATGGACAGACGGGCAGGTGGGTGGATGGAGGGCAGGTGGATGCATGGGTGGGTGGATGGGTAGGTGGAGGGCAGATGAGTGGATGAAGGAATAGATGGGTGGGCAGGCTGGATGGGTATATGAGTGGACGGATGGGTGGATGGACAAATGAGTGGACGGGTGAGTGGTAGGCTGCTGGGCAGACGGGTGGATGATGGATGGATGGGATGGAAGATGGGTGAGTAGATGAATGGGTGGGGGATAGTGGATGGATTATGGATGGATGGGTAGATGGGTGGGTGGGGGGTTGGTGGACAGATAGATAAATGGAGGGTGGATGGATGGAGGATGGGTGGATGATGGCCGGGTAGACGGGTGGGCGGATGGGTGGGCAGGGGATGAATTGTGGATAAATGGGTAGATGGGTTGATGGATGATCGATTGATGGATGGATGGGTGGATGAGTAGGTCAGCAGATGGGTGGGAGGGCAGGTAGACGGGTAAATGGACAACTGGACAGAGGATGAGGGGGTGTGTGGGGAATGAGTGAACAGCTCAGTGGGTAGACAAGTCAATTCTGTCGAAGGTGTGAGTAGAGTGAGTAGGGTGGACAGTGAGAAATTCTACAGAGGGAAGTGGTGCCAGCTTGGCCTCACTGAGACAGATATGCTCACAGGCACCGATGGCCATTTGACAGGGATAGCCGTTGTGTGCACTTCCAGTCAAGCTCCCGAGGCTCTCCAGGGCATCCACACAGAACTGGCTTTCCCACCGAGCCAGCCCAGAGGCAGAGCACCTGCCAGGGCCTCTCCATTCCCGCTGGTTGGCCAGCAGCTCACCCAAGGGGAGGAAGACAGAACCCACCACCCACGCTCTCTGGGACTTTCCCGTTTCCCCTCCTCCCTCCCATACTGTCTACACGCGCATCTGGTATAACCGATCTCTCAACTGGCCTCCCTCGAATGCAAGCAAAACGGTATGCTGACAACAGACTAGTCGTTTTGAGTCATTCTTGATAGTAGGTGGGCTCAGCCGGATGGCCGGAGTTCCATCAAGTGGACAGATGGGAGGACAGACAGGTGGACGCATGGCAGGTCGGTGAGGGGAATGGAGATGATGATGGACACGGCGGTGGCTGGGCAGGTGGGCACACCGTGGGGCCAGCCAGCTGGAAGCCCCCCGCTGGGCATGACAGCAGGCCCACCTGGTGCCAGTAGGCAGAGTCCGTGCTGGATGCCATCTGCTCCTGCACCCACTCCAGGTTGGCGGCCAGGAAGCTCTTCAGCTTCTCGCAGTAATCAACTTCGTACTCGAAGGGGCCACAGTAGTTCACCACCGTGTTCATCCAGTGCATGTAGATGAGCTGCGTGGGAGAGGCATGGGCAGCTGGGTTGCTCTCTGCCCTGGGGAAGCCCCGCCCAGGCCGCCCAAAAGGGTAGCACTGGGCAAGGCTGGGTCCTCCCCAGAGGCCCTTCCCACCCCCACCAGGGCCCCACGCCTCCGGAAGTCTGCCTCCCTGAGGAGCCTTCAGCAGGCTACGCCTAGGCTGGACTTCACCTCCTCTGTGCTGAGGACCCATCTACACATGTGTTTAGTCAGTCAGTCAACAAATGTTTCTTGAAGTCCCTGTCACATTCAGTTCTAGGCTCTGAGGACACAGCAGTGAATAAAACAGCAAATATTCCTGCAGACTCGCTCGGGCAAGAGGGTGCTGGGCTGGCTTCACCCAGGCCTCATGTACAGGAGTCTGGGCTCGCCTGCAGGGGTGAAAGATGGAGAGCCACTCCCAGATGCGTGAATGAGGCCCTCCCAGGCCAGCCAGCAGCCCAGCTGACCCATGGGCAGACCACAGGAGCACGGATGAGCCCAGCCAGGACCAGCCTGCCAGGTCCAGAGTGACTGGAGTGACAGCTGGCAGAGGGACCTTGCTCTCTGGAGGAGTGGCTGGTCACCCACAGCTTGTGTTAATCCTTTATATGACCTGACACGGTCAAACCTCACAGCTCTGCAAGGAAGGCGCTGTTATCACCACCCCCACTTTATAGTTGAGGAAATCAAGGCACAGGTTGGTGACTAACTTTCTCAAGGCCACCTGGGTAGTGAATCTAAGAGCCATGACTTGAACCCACATAAAAATGTGGATTAAGCTGGGCATGGTAGCATGCACCTGTAGTTGCACTCAGCCTCTTAGAAGGCTGAGATGGGAGGATCACTTGAGCCCAGGAGTTTGAGGCCAGACTGGACAGCATAGAGAGACCCAGTCTCTTTAAAAAAAATTTTTTTTTAATGTGAATTTGTAATTTCCCAAAGCACTGACCTCCCTGAGCACAGGCTCGGGGTAACTTCTGGCCACTCCCCCACCCTCCACCCAGTGGAAATATTCCCAAGCCACATGGGTCAGTGAGAAAATCTGCCCAGGACTGATGGTTTATCGACCCTGCTCTACCACTATCTCACCACAACACGTCAAACCTCTGCTTGTCCCTCAGACCCCACAGAGACACTACCACTTCCTCCATGCAGCCTTCCATGACTTCCCCAGTATTTTCCCAGTACCTCTCCTATCCCAGGCTCTAGATTGGGCTCAGGGGACACAGCTGGGAACAAGACATGGTCACCTCCCACAGAAACCAATGGGCCAGAGGGAGGAGCAGAAGAGCAAACCACTTAGGAACAGAGACTTGGGTCAGCACAGCTGGGCTTGAATGCTGCCTCCTCTGCTTGTTGGCTGATCGACCTTGGGAAAGTAACCTGACCTCTCGGCCTGAGCCTGCCCGTCCAGAGGAAGTGATCACGCATCCCTCAGGGGTTGGCACGGGGGCTCAGTGAGCCAACATGCCGACAATGTGTGTGGGCCTGAGTTCCTCACATGAGAGCCACTCCTGGCCTTGCCTCGGTGTCCCCGCACAGGCTGTGAGCCCCTGGGAGATAGACGTGTCTCATTCTCCACTGACACCCAGAACAGCCCTGGCTGGCCCAGGTCTGACCACCTCCCCGAATACAAAGGGTTCAGGAGGCCATCGGAAGCTGCAGCTGAGCGTCACAGGGGCAAGGTGGGTGTCAGAAAGAGTACCCCACAGATACTGCTTTCACGACACCTAGGTCCCCCGTGCCACACTGTCACACTCCCCCACACACCTTGGCTGAGCCATCCACTCACCTGCTGGGGCAGCTGGAGTTCTCCCACTGGGAGGCCACTCTGAGCACCTCCCGCATGTGCCTGGGTCACCCCTAGGGCACACCCCAAGGAGCAGGGCCACTGGGTCTGAGCGTGTACAAGTTCAACTCCACAAGTTAAAGTCAATTACTTTCCAAAGTGGGTGACCCAATGCATACCTCCACCCACAGCGTGGGAGATGGACGTCACTTCACAGCCTCACCCACTTCTTTTTTTTTCTTAAAGAAAGGGTCTTGCTCTGTGGCCCAGGCTGGAATGCAGCGGCATAATCACAGCTCACTGCAACCTCGAACCCCTGGCCTCTAGCAATCCTCCCACCTCAGCCTCCTGTGTAGCTGGGACTACAGGCATGTGCCACCACACCCGGCTAAGTTTTTGATTTATTGTAGAGGTGAGGTCTCGCCAAGTTGCCTAGGTTGGTCTCAAACGCCTGGGCTCAGGCAATCCTCCCACCTCGGCCTCCCAAAGTGCTAGGATTACAGGCATGAGCCACCGCACCCGGCCCCTAGGGCAATTCTCTAAAGAACGCACTTGAATTTTTTCTCCTCCACCAAGTAGGGAGCTGGGGGTGGGGGTGGGGGGGGAAACCCCCACAGGCACCCTGGAGAGCATGCAGGGTGGGGGAACATGCCCTTACCTCCTCCGACACTGCGGCCTCCACCACGCCAGCTGCATAGGCCTGCAGGCTGTCATTGTAGCGGCCATTCGTGCCCAATTCCAGGAAGGCCCACCTGGAAGGAGGAAGGAGGGACCCGTGGTCAGTGGCGGGTCTCCAGCTAGGTACACAGCTGGCTCCAGTTGCAAACCATAAAAACCATACCATGGGTAACAGACGCTCACACCACACCCGTCTGCCTGTCCATCTTTGAGCTTGCTGGGCTAAACCTCTAAAGAGCTGCTGGGTTGGAGAGAAGAGGTACTTTTGATTTGGAATAGATATTGACCTCCAGCCGCCACACAAAGCCTGTGCCACCTACACTCCCTCACCCACCGTAGCGCCAGCCAGCATCGGGTGAGGGCCTCCTCCATGCCAGGCAGTACTCCACTCACTCCTATCTATTAACTGGTTGAGGCCAAGCACAGAGGCTCATGCCTGCAATCCCAGCACTTTGGGTGGCCAAGAGGGGAGGATTGCTTGAGCCTAGTTCGAAACCAGCCTGGGCAACACAGTGAGAACTTGTCTCTACAAAAATCTAAAAAATTAGCTAGGCGTGATGGTGTGTGCCTGTAGTTCCAGCTACTCAGGAGGCTGAGGCAGAAGGATCACCTGAGCCCAGAAGGTCAAGGCTATGATGAGCCGTGACCATGCCACTGCACTCCAGCCTGGGCAACAGCATGAGATCTCAACTCAAAAAAATAAAAGAAAAGAAAAACTTTAAAAAATCATTGAATCCTGGTGATGATGCCACAATCCTACACAGCAGACGGCATGACTGTCCCCATCGCAGGACGCAAAGGAGGAAGCCGCAGCCCAGGGTGCGTCACTGCGGTGGTAGACCACCACCCAGCCCACGTCCTCATCCTGGGCTATGTGACTCTGCAATTCTTCCCGCAAGTGCCCTTCCCTGCCCTTCCCTGGCCCTGGAGTCGGGAGCATGTCATGTGGCTTGCTGTGGCCAACAGCTTGTGGGTGGAAGTGACAGGTGCCAGTGACGAGCTGAGCCTTCCAAAGGCCTCCATGTCTCCACTCGCCCTTCCTGCCTCTGCCATTGCCATGGGAAGAACATGCCCTGGCTGGCCCGCTGGTCCCAGGAACATGAGCGCCACACGGAGCAAACCAGGTCTGCTCTATCACTCAGGCTGGAGTGCAGTGGCACACTCACAGCCACCGCAGCCTCGACCTGCTGGGCTTAGGAGATCCTTCCACCTTAGTCTTCCAAGTAGATGGGACTATAGGGACATGCCATCATATCCAGCTAATCTTTTTTTATTTATTGTAGAGACAAGGTCTCGCCAAGTTGCCCAAGCTGGTCTCAAATCCCTGGACTCAGGCAATCCTCTCATCTCAGCCTCCCAAAAGTGTTGGGATTACAGGCATGAGCCACCGTGCCCAGCCTAGATTGCACCTTGCTCCAAGGGCACAAAAATATCCCCTGTGTCACTTCCCTAACTAGAGCGAAGTGTTTTTTTTTCCCCAGGCAATTTCCATTAAGAAAAAAGAGGGCAAAGCCAGGCTCGGTGGCTCAGCCTGTAATCCCACGCTTTGGGAGGCTGAGGTGGGAGGATTGCCTGAGCCCGCGGGTTTGAGACCTGCCTGGACAACTTGGCGAGACCTCATCTCTACAATTAATCAAAAAAATCAGCCAGGCGTGGTAGCGTGTGCCTCTAATTCCAGCTACTCGGAAGGCTGAGGCGGAAGGATCGCCGGAGCCCAGCAGGCTGAGGTTGCAGTGGCTGGGAGCGGCCACTGCACTCCAGTCTGGGTGACAGAGTGAGACTCCAACTCAAAAAAGAAATGAGGGTGACGGAAAGACACTGGAGAGACTTTAGGAGGCTGCAAGACAGGAGTCAGGCTCCACTGGACTGCCTCACGGGGAGCTGGCTAAAAGCCGTGAACAGCTCCAGGACAGAACAGCTCAGGCCTGGAGAAGACTCAAGAGGGAGAACTCACACTATACCCCACGGCCTTTCCAAGCACCTGATGGGCCAGACAGCGAGGGTGTGGAAGGATGAATGGCATTGGTCCTGGCCTTCAAAAAGCTCATGGAGGCCAAGTGGGTGGCTCGTGCCTGTCATCCCAGCAGTCTGGGAGGCAGAGGCAAGAAGACTGCCTGAGCCACGGGCTTTGAGACCAGCCTGGGCAACTTGGCAAGATCTTGTCTCTACAATACATCAAAAACTCAGTCAGGTATGGTGGCATGCCTCTGTGGTTCCAGCTACTTGAAAGGCTGAAGTGGAAGGATGTCCTGAGCCCAGGAAGTCAAGGATGCAGTAGCTGTGAGTGTGCCACTGCACTCCAGTCGGGGCAACAGATTGCAACTCTGACTCAAAAAAAACCTCATGGGGGGCAGGGAAGGCATTGAAGCACAGAATAGCATAACAGGGTAATGACTGTAATGAGAAAAGGAATGAAGTGTCAAGGGTGTCCCACGTCAGAGGGTCACCATGCCCTGAAGAGGAACACTGCTGCTGCTGCGACTACCTGAGTAAAATAAAATCTGTGAAGGCTTCACAGAAGAGATGATGCTGCTCTGGGTTTTGAAGTTTACATAGGCGCTTGCCAGGTGGAGAGAAGAGGGAAAGTAAAAGAAGGAAGCCTGAGTTCTGAATGTTCCAAAGAAAACGATGTTGAGGCCCACAGGACAGAGCTGTGGGGACCACCAGCCAGGCCCTGCTATGGAAGACAACAGCCCCCAGGCACTGTGCCACAGACATTGCATGTTGGCTTACCTCTGAATTCTTCCAAAGATCCTATGACATGACTTTTATTTTCTTCACTCTACAGATGTGGGAACTGAGACTCAGAGAGGTGAAGTCACTTGCCTGCAATCACACAGCTAGTAAGTAGCAAAGCCAAGACTAACATTCCAGAGCGTGTGCTCAAACCTCTAGCTCAAGTGAGTTGTGTGAGGTCTTAGTTGGGGAGGGACGTAGTTCTTATCAGAAGATGACAGCCATGAACTTCAGGCTAAGGACTCACAGATAACCATAGACAAGAGCAGAAAAACAAGAGAGAGGAGCGAAGATTTCAAATTTCAAGAAGAGTGGAGGACAGAGAGAGTTTGGGCTTGTGGGTGCTTCAGACTCGGATTGAATCCTCAAGTACATCCTTTACTGGCTGTGTACCTTTGGGCAAACTGCTTAATCTCTCTGGGCCTCAGTTTCCGCTTCTGTAAAATGGGCATGGTAACTCCCATGTCAGAGGGTTACCACAGGCGTGCCAGGAGATCACGCACATTACACACTCACTAAACACTTGTCTCATCACGGATCTGAGAGGGAGCTCAAGAGCTGGGTGGGCTTGGTGATGGGAGGAAGGATGCTTGAATGAGCCCAATATGCAGATCCCCTCATGCTAAGAAGTGGCAGGGGTCAAGAGAGACAGGTACACACTGCATACAACCAAAAAGCCCTGGCAACCACTGGGCGGCCATGGCCTTCTTCCATGCAGGCCACACCCGGCAGGAGCCGCCCTTTCCAGGGAGTGGGCTCAGTCCAGGCCTCAGGGCGAAGCCCGGAGACAGGCAGCCATCAGGAACCCACCCCGTGATGCTCACACGGCCCTGAGAGTCGAGCAGGGTGGTCCTTCTCACAGCAGGCTTTCCTCCAAAGCCCAGGGAAATGGGGCCTCCCGAAACATCCTCCACGAAGGCCTGATCCCATGATCCATCCACACACACCGCATGCTGACGAGGAAGGGGGTCAGAGATAAAATTTTTTTTGAAGTGCAGAGGCCAAACAGTGGACACAGCACAAACTTGTGTATGAAAACATTACACATATACATACACGTATGCATGTATGTTTAGCCCTGTTTATTCATGGAAAGTTCTAGAACAAAGAGATAACAGTAGGCTGGGTGTGGTGGCTCATGCCTGTAATCCCAGCACTTTGGGAGGCTGAGGCAGGAAGATCACTCAAGGGCAGGAATTCAAGACTAGCCTGGGCAATATATTGAGATTCCATTGCCACAAAAAATTAGCCGGGTATGGTTGCACTTGCCTGTAGTCCCAGCCCCTCGAGAGGCTGAAGCCGGAGGATCCCCTGAGCCCAGGAGGTCGAGAGGCTGCAGTGAGCTGTGATGACACTCCAGCCTGGGCAACAGAGTGAGACCCTGCCTCAAAAATAAAGTAAAATAGGCCGGGCTCAATGGCTCAGCCTGTAATCCCACACCTTGGGAGGCCGAGGTGAGTGAACTGCCTGAGCCTGTGGGTTCAAGACCCGCCTGGGCAACTTGGCAAGACCTCATCTCTACAATAAATCAAAAAAATCAGCTGGGCGTGGTAGCGCGCGCCTGTAATTCCGTCTACTTGGAAGGCTGAGGTGGAAGGATCGTCGGAGCCCAGCAGGCGAGGCTGCGGTGGCCGGGAGCGGCCACTGCACTCCAGTCTGGGCGACAGAGTGAGACTCCAACTCAAAAAATAAATAAATAAAAATTTAAAAAGTAAAATAAAATAAAGGAGCGAACAGCAGTGATTATAGCAACGATTATAGTAAAGCACAGGAGTGGGGCGGAGTCTGCTAGAATTTTCACCACAAATAATTAGTGCATGTAAGAATCACAAAACTTTTAAAAGACCCGCAATGTGGCTTCTTTCAAGCCGGACGGAAAGGATGAGTGAGAAGCGACAGCCCCAGCCACTCCTGCACCACCCATGCCACTCCCGCCCCCCACTCCCACCGGCCTTCGCCCAGGGAGTCCCCGGCCTGCCCCCACCCAAGCCACCTTATTCCAAAGGGCAGTACACCGGCCCCACTGGCACGGGTTTCCTCCTTCTGCCTGAGCCCTTGGAAGACCCAGGCGGGCGGCCTCTACCTGGCAGGCGCGTGCTCCCAGAATCCCTCGGGAGCTTCCTACTCACGGGGCTCAGTGCTGGAGGCCCGACCCTGACTCCGAATCCTCCCTCTACTGTCTGCGGCCCAGGGCCCCAGCCACAAGATCCCCACCAGCCCCCACGTCACTACAATGGGGCAGCTGCCCACAGTCACCTGCAGAAAGCACCGGCAAGGATTGGAGCCCGGATCCCTCTCCAGGAAGCCCGCAACTCTGCCTCCTCCTCACTGCCTTGGCCTTCCAGCCTCAGCTTCCCCATCTGTAAACCGGAAAGGCCTGGACCTCAGCAACCCGCCTCTAGAAACCCTACCCCAGTCGCTGGCCGGGAGAAAAGCACTTCAGAGTGTTTCTAGAACTCGACGTGCTTCTCAAGGACGGTGCTGGATTCAGAGGGCATGTTGCTTCCAGAATTGTCCATCTTTCACGAGAGACATAATGACAGGGGTTGAGAAGTATTGCTGTTTTGTTTTTAATGCACTTGCTTGACAAAAATAAAAAGCTGGCAGAATGAGATCAGTTTTCCCAAACTTTTTTTTCCCCAGAAAATCTATGGGCCACACTGTGATTTTATGTCAGGGCAGCTAAAGCCTCTGAGATGATCAGAGGATCTAATCAAGGGGCCTAGAAAAGCCATCAGCAACCCCTTGTGCATATTGTGTGGTCCTGGACACCTCTGTTATGCAGGCTGTCCCCTCTATCTGTGGATATCAGGCCTTTCTCATTCTCGGTGGTACAGAGTCACCTCTGGTGACCTTTCAAAGACATTGCTGGGGTCAAGCATGGTGCCTCACACCTGTAATCCTAGCACTTTTGGAGGCCAAGCTAGGAGGATTGCTTGAGACCAGGAGTTCAAGATTACAGTGAGCTATGATTGCACGACTGCACTCTAGCCTGGGTGACAGAATGGTGGGAGAGGGAGGGAGGGAAGGAGGGAAGGAAGGAAGGAAGGAAGGAAGGAAGGAAGGAAGGAAGGAAGGAAGGAAGGAAACACTCTGCCTGGGTGACAGAGTGAGGCACCATCTGAAAGAAAGAAGGAAAAAGGGACAAACAGCTGGGCCTTATTTATCCACTTGACTGGGCTGGGTTTGCCTGTCGGTGGTGGATTCAGGGTGCTCCCTGGCTTACTAATTTGTTAATTCCCTCCTATTTTGACTCATTTTCTCAACTCAACAGTGATATACTTCAAGCAGCCTCGTAGAGAAGGTGCTGGCTGGTGGAACCAGATGGGGCAGGCTCCCCAGGGCCGCGGCCCCAATAGCATCTCTGACCTCCAAGCACCAAAGCCTACAGGTTTCCAAGCTGCGTGGGGGGTGTTGGCCCAAAGTCAGATGTGGTACGACTGAAAGGAAGGAGTCCAGGGAGGGGAATTATCCTGAGGATCCCAGGATCCCTAGGGGCAAAATCTGTGGATCTCACCAGAAAGGAGGGACCCCAATTCTGGGGAAATGGAGGAGTCAGATCCCTGACCTCCCCAGGCCAAAAAGATGAGGCAGAGTCTCCCAAAGATCAGAGACTCTGCTGATCAGGGGCCAGGACACCCCAGATGGTCCAGAAGGTCTCAGTTTCCCCACCTGTAAAAACGGGATCTTGGGGAAAGGGGCAGGTGAGGGTAGAAGGAAAAGAATGAGAAACTGAGCCGGGCTTGGTGGCTCAGCCTGTAATCCCAGCGCTTTGGGAGGCTGAGGTGAGTGGATTGCCTGAGCTCACGGGTTTGAGACCTGCCTGGGCAACCTGGCAAGACCCCATCTCTACAATAAATAAATAAAAACAATTAGCCAGGCGTGGTAGCAAGCACCTGTAGTTCCAGCTACTTGGAAGACTGAGGTGGAAGGATGGCCGGAGCCCAGCAGATTGAGGCTGCAGTGGCCCAGAGCGGCCACTGCACTCCAGTCTGGGTGACAGAGTGAGACTCCGACTCAAGAAAAAAAAAAAAGAATGAGAAACTGGGCAGAAAACATGCCAGAATGTGAGGGGCATGTGAGAAGTATAAACAGACCTGGATTCATCTCTCAGGCCTCAGTTTCCCCAACTGCAAAATAGGGCCAGAGGACACTTGCTCTTTTCTCTTTCACACATTCCTTCCTTCAGTAATAAGCAAACAGCGATGCTTTCCATGATCTCACTGAATTTCCATGACCCTTCCTGCCCTACCTGGAGGTGAAGAAACAGGCTCAGAGAGGTGAAGGGATTTGCCCAAGGTCACACAGCAATAGGCTGAGCCTGAAGGCCTTTTCAACCAACCCAGTGAAGGAAGCCCTTGCTCCATTTCCATGTTTAACATAACCCCGAAAGCAACACAGCCCATTGGGGGCCTCCTAGGCCAAAGTCCCCTCCCATGCTGGGCCTCATCCCTGTGCCTCCCTTCCTGGCGCCCAGGCAGAGACTTGTCATACCCTCTTGGCTCTGCTAAGCAGGGCCCAAAACGTGTGAGTCAGCAGAGGTCGTGTCACCAGATCCCCTGCAGACAGCCACAAAGCTCTGGTTTCCTCCACAGATGCCAACCCACTCTGTGGCCTCCTCTCCTAGAAGCCTTCCCAGATTGGCCCCACCCAGCTTCTGTGTCTGAAGCAAATCTCCCATCTGTCTACCTGACACCCCCCAAGTGCCACCACAATAGGGTTGTCCTCAGCGTCCTGGGGGCTACAGCAGAAGGACACCATGCATGCTGGAAGGGACAATGTAGTCTAAGCACTGGGATATGCCAGAGTGGGGAGCACACAGGGTTCCCTAAGGCCCCCCAGCACAGCCTGGATCCAAGGCCTGGGCCCTGCTGACTTGGCTTTGAGGCCAGTCCTCCCATTCTCCCTGACTCCGGTTTCCTTCCTTCCGCTCTGTTTCTCCCACTGAAAAGGGACCTCCACCTTCCACATCTCTGTAGCCCTAAAGTCGGGCACCAGGATACTGAAGACGTGACTTAATGAATGAGTGCAGGCCTGAGGGAGCGCCACACAGCCCCTCCCCCAACCAGAGCACATTTTCAAAATCTGGGCCGCAGATGGAGACACAGAGAGCCCAGACGGGCGGAGGAGTTAGATGAGACTCACGCGACAGAATGACAGCCTGCGTCTGGGCAATAAGGACCACCATCATGACTGCGGAGCTCAGAGCACTGAGTTCCCAAGCACCAGGCCAAGGGCTTCCCCTGGACTCAGACAGAGGGAAGGGAGGGGCACAGCCCCACAACGGGACTGCCTGATTCTGTCTGAATTTAGGGACCCGCTGCTTTCGGACTGGCCTGGTTCTGGACGGGAGGCTAGGTGAGAGTTACCACCCCTCCCATCCCGGGACCGGCGGCTGGCACCCATGGCGGGGGGAGCTGAAGTCCGGGGAAGAGGGCGGTCCCTGGGGAGGGAAGTTATTGTTCTATCCGTCAGCCGTGTGCTGATCCAGACACAACACCGAGCCCCGGTGGCGGGGAGCGGGGCTCCCGGACCCCGAAGCACTGTCACCGCCGGCTGAGGCGAGGGACGGGCCCCGGAAGGCGAGGGATGCTGCACCAGCCCCTCCAAGCAGGGACCCGGACCAGACGGCGGTGCTGCAGCCCCGGAGGCGGGAGACCGACCCCGGAGAGGCAGGGACGGGGGCCCGGGGCAGGGAGGCCTGGCGCCCAGGCGCCCCGGTCCCCGGCCGGCCCTGAGCCGGGCGGGCGACCCTTACCCGGTCTTGTGCATGGCGTTGGTGAGGTTGGCCCAGGCCACGGCGTCAGGGTGGCGGCCGTCCACCAGGCGCAGCTGGCCGGTCGCGGGGTCCAGGAGCACCGAGCGGCAGCTGGCGGCAGGGGGCACCGGCCGGCCGCGCGCGCGGCGGGCCCCCGGGGGCGGGATGGCGCCCGCCAGGCCGCTCAGGAACAGCCCCACCAGCAGGGCCAGCACCAGGGCCAGCGCCAGCGCTCGCGTCAGCGCCCGGGCCAGGCGGCCGCCGGGCGAGCCGTACGCCGGGGCCGCCATCACCGCGCCGGCCCGCGCCGCCGCCCGGTCACGTGACGGCGCGTCGCCGCCGGCCGGGGGCGGGGCCGGGGGCGGGGCCTGGGCCGAGCGTTCCTGGGGGGCGGGGCTCCGAGCGGCGAGACGAAAGGGGCGGGGCCCCCTTCAAGGGCCCGGCGCCCCTTCCGCCCGCGTCACGCCAGGGCGCGCACCTACCGCCCCACGCTCTTTCTACTTTGCAGATTTCCACACCTCGAGAAAAGTTGCGAGAATAGTAGAGTCAGTACCCGTATGCCTGTCACCAATTGCTAATATTTTGCCAAGTGTATGTAGTCTTTCTGGTTCTATAATTTTGCTGAACGGTTTTAGTTTCTTGAAGACACAGAGAGACCTGTCAGCCATAAATCCTGTGGCATGTGGGTCCTCGCAGCAAAGACAAGATCCTGCAAAATGGCGATGCTGCGACAGCACTCAGGAAACCTCCTTGTTGCTTTTTAATTTAGCATGTGTTCACCAGTTTTTCCTGTCATTCCCGTGTCCTTGTTTGTCATCTTTTTTTTTTGAGTAGGAGTCTTACTCTGTCGACCAGGTTGGAGCGCAGTGTCACACTGCTCACAGCCACTGCAGCCTCAATCTGCTGGGCTCAGGTGGTCTTTCCGCCTCAGGCTTCCAAGGAGCTGGAACCACAGGCGCCTGCCACCACACCTGGCTAATTTTATAATTTACTGTAAAAGATGAGGTCTCGTCATGTTGCCCAGGCTGGTCTTGAACCCCTGAACTCAGGCAATCCTCTCACCTTGGCCTCCAAAGTACTGGGCTTGCAGGCATGAGCCACCATGCCCAGCAGCGTGCTACTTCTTCTAGGGCACATGCCAGCCAAGGTCCTGAACACTCAGAGGGGTTTTTTTTTAATTGTCAGTGGGCCATTGTCTTGCTGAGCTATGGTGTGGCCATGTGCTCTTTGAGCAAAACAAGCCATGTTTTCTCAAGCTTTGGCCCTCTCCCCTACCTTGGGGAGGTGAATCTCCTCTTTCTCTCTTTCTTTAATGTACTTTCTAAACAAACTTTTTATAATCTAAAAAAAAAAATCTCTGAGCCGGGCTCAGTGGTTCAGCCTGTAATCCTGCGCCTTGGGAGGCTGAGGTGAGTGGATTGCCTGAGCCCGTGGGTTCGAGACCCACCTGGGCAACTAGGCGAGAACTCATCTCTACAATAAATAAAAAAAATTAGCTGGGCATGGTAGCGCGCGCCTGTAGTTCTGGCTACTTGGAAGGCTGAGGCGGAAGGATCCCTGGAGCCCAGCAGGTCGAGGCTGCAGTGGCCGGGAGCGGCCACTGCACTCCAGTCTGGGCGACAGAGTGAGACTGCAACTCAAAAAACAAACAAACAAAAAAACAAAACAAAACAAAACAAAATCTCTGGTGTAAAGGAACTGATGGCCCAGGTGCAAGCAGGATCCAGGGAACCAACAAAGTCTGCCGCGCTCCCAGAAGCAGGACTGCTTCCGAGACCCTGGGAGAGCCGGGATTGTAGAAACAGTGGGCAGGAAGAATCACCCCAGCTCCCTGGCTCCTCCCATTGGCCAAATCCACATGAACTCTTGACTTGAGGCAAGGCAGTCCCCAGAGCTCAGTGGGTGGACGAGGGTGGGACAGAGGCAGACAGAGTGACAGCCCAAGGCAGCCAGGGGAGGTGACTGAAGAAATGACCTTGAGTCTAGATGAAGTGAGTCGGGGAAAGAGTTCAGAGCATAGAATTCCAAGCAGGAGAAACAGGTGCAAAGGCCAGGCTGTGATGGTGCCTCTTGCCCTCCAACTGGTCTCCAGTTTGAGAGCAGCCTGGGTGACAGAGTGAAACCCTGTTTCTAAAAAAAAAAAAATTAAGACCGCCCCCCTAAATATCTCTTCGAAACCCCACTTTTAATTCTTTTGAATATATACGCAGAAACAGGATTGCTGAATCCCATGTATACACATCCATTTATGTGCTTAGAAGACTAGCAAGCCAGGAGCAGAGGCGCACGTCTGTAATCCCAGCACTATGGGAGGCTGAGGCAGGAGGATCCCTTGAGCTCAAAAGTTTGAGACAAGCCTGGGTAACATAGCAAGACCTTGTCACTGCAAAAAAATTTTTAAAAATTGGTAGGGTTTGGTGGCGTGCACCTGTAGTCCCAGCTACTGGGGAGGCTGAGGAGGATGAGTAACCTGAGTCCTGGAGGTCAAGGCTGCAGTGAACCACGACCGTGCCACTACACTCAGCCTGGGCGACAGAGTGAGACCTCAACCTCACTTTCCGCATTTTTAAATAAATTAATAAAATATAGCTTCAGTCATACAAGATGCCAAGGGTTCTGGAGAGGAATGGTGGTGATGGTTGCCCAACAACGTGAATATATTTAATGCCACTAACCTGCACGCTTTGTTTATTTATTTATTTTTTTGAGTTGGAGTCTCACTCTGTCACCCAGACTGGAGTGCAGTGGCCGCTCCCGACCACCGCAGCCTCTACCCACTATGCTCTGGCAATCCTTCCTCCTCAGCCTTCCAAGTAGCCAGAAATACAGGCACGTGCTATCTCGCCCAGCTGATTTTTGATTTATTGTAGAGATGAGGTCTCGCCAAGTTGCCCAGGCGGGTCTCGAACCCACAGGCTCAGGCAATCCGCTCACCTCAGCCTCCCAAAGGCACGGGATTACAGGCTGAGCCACCGAGCCAGCTCTGCACGCTTTAAAGTAGTGAAGCTGGGAATTTTTCAGTTGTATGTATTTTAGCATGGTGAGAAAAATCAGAACACAAAAAGAAAGCATGTCTATATTGTCAACTAAAAAAAAAAAAAGCTTGGCTCAGAGGTCAAAGGAAATAGCATTTATCTGGGAAACAAGAATTTCTGCAATCGGGGTAAACTGAGTCAGGGTAGTCCTGAAGAGCATCCTGTAAGTAAGTGCAGGAGAGGGCTGTTTCATAAGGGATTTCCACAAAAAGTTGTTTTTTTCTGGGCAAAAAGCCCACGGGGCAAACCCTCTCTGATTGGTTAGTTAATGGGGCACACCCAGCTGGGGGTGGTGAAGGCAGTGGGTCCTTACCAGTTGCCGGTTGCCAGCAGGTCTGTTGGGATTTTCTGTGGTTTGACCCTGGGCAGGTCTGAGTGCGGCCCTCCCACCAGCTCCCAGCTCCACTTTGGAAGGTCACGGTCACAATGTGGGAGGCAGGGCGGGATCTCGAGCCAGGCTCTTCTGACACTTGTGGCTGTGTGGCCTCGGGCAGGTCACTCAACCTCTCTGGGCCTGTTTCTCCATCTCACTTAGAATGAAATCCAAGTCCTTAGAGATGCTTCCCTACACCATGTGCCGCTCACCCCTCCGCCCTATTACCTCTCTGACCTCATTCACTGCCCCACTCCCCCTCACCTATTCTGTTCCAGCCCCTTGGATCTCACTGTTCTTTCTACCTACCAGGACAATCCTGCTTTAGGGCCTTTGCCCTTGCTGTTCCAGCTGCCTGAAACGCTGTTCCCCAGGTACCTGCAGGGCTCAATGCTCCTCCAGGGCTCAGCCTGGAGAGGCCCTCCCTGACCGCCCTAAGAATTACCCACCCCACTCACCTCCTCCCACGCCTGGGTTTCTCTTGCTTTGTGTCGTGAAGTGCTACCAGCCTGATAGAAAGTTGCCTGCTTATGTATGACAGTGTGAGCTGAATGGCAGTCCCCAAAGATGTCCATGCCCTAATCCCCAGAACCTGTGACCGTATCACGCTAAGGACATGGTGATGGAGAGGTTGTTCTGACTTATCAGGGCCAGCCCTAAATGCCATGTGAGTTCTTCTGAAAGCAAAGCAGAGGGAGGCTGGACTAAGCAGGCCGTGTGACAGGCCGGGGGGGGGAGGGGAGGGCACAGGAGTCACGCCGCCACAAGCCAAGGAATGCCAGCAGATGCCAGAAATCACGCCAGAAGCTGGACCAGGTCAGGAACGGATTTCCCCCTGGAGCCTCGAGGACTCAGCCCTGCCAACAGCATGGAAGGCTCATCTTGGACTTCAGGCCTCCAGAAATGTGAGAGAATACACTTACTTGATCATTTATTTAGAACTTGCTCTGTTGCCCAGGCTGGGACACAGTGTTATGATCACGGCTCACCGCAGTCTTGACCTCCTGAGCTCAAGCGATCCTCCTGCCTCAGCCTCCCGAGAAGCAAGGACAGCAGGCGCATGCCACCATGCCCAACTAATTTTTTAAAATTTTGTGCAGAGATGAGGTCTCCCTGTGTTGCCCAATCTGGTCTCAAACTCCTGGGCTCGAACAATCCTCCCGCCTCGGCCTCCCAAAGTGCTGAAATTACAGGCCTGAGCCACTGCGCCCGGCCATCTGTCGTTTTAAACCAGTACATTTCTGGTAGTCTGTTAGGCAATAGGAAACGAATGTGCCCACCCCACTGGGACTGCCAGAGACCGGAACAGCGGCTGGCTCAGAGTAGACATTCTATAAATTTTTGCTAAATGTGTGAGTCCTGTAAACCACACGGTTCTGAAATTATGTAGCAGAATACCTTGCACATAGTAGGTGATCACAATCAATGATGCAGGCAGATGCCCAAGGATCCGGGACACACAGGGCATCGTGTGTGCCTGTCTTCTCTGCCCTGGAACGCTGACAGCCACCAACTCTCTGATTTTTCCAACGGCAGCCATATGTCCAGCAGTTAAGCCCTGACACCATCTCCCTGGCCTCAGTGTCCCAAAGGCTCAAGAGCTCAGCCCACAAGATACCCTGTGTCGGGTGGCGGTCCCAAGGCCCGGGCCTCCTGGACTTCTGACCTACCGGCTGTGAATTCAGTGAATCCCCATGTCCATCCGCAAGTTTGAGAACATGCCAGAATGGCTCTCAGAATTCAGGAAGGCACTCAGCTGATACCGACTGGTATGTTACAAGGGATTCAACTCAGGAAACGCCAGAAGGGAGTGAGGCCAGGGTGGGGTGTCTGGTGCCACCTCACCTTCCTCTCCCAGTGTCCCCACCCAGCACCGCGGCGTTCACCAGTTCACCAACCCGGAAGCTC